TATAACTTTAAAATTGTCTAAAGTGCATTCCACATATATAATACACTTCCAACAGCCCTGGGAGAAGGACATTAGGCATATTAATAGTGAAAGAAGCCCGTGTCTTGTGATAAAATCTGATGGATTTCAATTTCCAGTTCCAGTACCTAGGTAGCTAGATGTTACTAAGCAGTTCACTTCTTCATCCAGAGCGTCTATGTAGTTCAGTTCTAAAATGGAAGAAGCATATGTGCTTAAGAATGTGTGTTCTGATTAAATTCACTGACATAGTATCAAGTGCATGTAGTGAATAGGTGTGCATTAAATGTTGTCTTAGCTAAGCTCAATTGACTGAAAAAAAAAAAAAAGAGCTAGAGTGGGACTTAGAAACAAGAGATTGCCAAGGATCACATGGCTTGTGCATTTGAGCTTCAGGAATATACTTCATACCGTTTGGCTTCTAGATGAGGGATTTTGCTGTCACACTCTGCCACCTCCCTGGTGAGATACTGAGCAATTTACTTCAGTTGTTAGGTTGATCTTATTCAGTGTGCGATTTCAGGATACTTTTTTCTTTCTTTTTGTCAGAAAAGTGGGTCTTTCCTTCATATGAGAAGAATTCCTCAGCATAACTCTGGAGTAGAGTGGAGCCAACTCTCAGGGGATTTTAAAGTAATAATCTCTGAGGCAACCTTTTCATTCTTATGTGTTTGATGCAGGACATCTTCCGGTCCTATGAGGAGGAGTCCTGTGAAGACAAAGCTCAGGGTTTTGTCAGGATTTTCTTTGTGTTTGGGGTGGTTTCACCCCTTAGCCATCAGAAATAGTTGGAAGACTAGTCCAAAGAGTGAGAAATAAAACTCATGAGTAGCCATACAATTATTCAGCTTTCTCACCAACTCTTAAGGATGAAGGGTGGAATGGAGACAACCAACATTTGAGAAAAAGAATCACTACTTACTGCGCTAATCACTACCTGGGCTTTTATTCCTTTGGATGGTGATGATGGTAGACTTAGGTGCGGAGCTGGACAAATCTGCTGCTGGCCACGTCAGTGGGCCATTTATCCATGGTGCTTTCTCACAGGCCACCAAGTTTCCTTTCTTTGTTGAAAGGAGACACGTTTGCTTGTACAGTTCTGGGAGAAATGTTTGACTCCTCACTTTGACATTTGGAAGCGTATGTTTGCTTTTGCCAAAAGGTGGCCATTAGTGTCCTTTTACCTGGCGTAATTAAAAAAGCACAGTGTGGCTTGTGAACATTCCAAGAAGAGACAGCAGGGGGAACAAAAAGGTCTTCTAAAGTGTACACACAATTTCATTTGTTGCTCAACTTCACCGGGCTTCTGGTGGTGACACAGATGTAGGATCTGGTGAGTCACTGTTGCTTTGCCTGTGAAATATTAGAGAGCCACCTACTGTGCTCTTTACCCGTTTTGGAAATTGTTCTGTGGGGGAAAAATATCACCAAAGAACAGGAAGGTCACAGAACATTTGGTATCTGACATTCCGGGGGATAAATTCGGGTTCGTGTTTCATGTACCTATTTTCAAAAACAGAGAGTTCATGGCTTCTGTTGATGAAAAAGTTGAGGAGACCTCTATCTCGACTATTTTAACTGTGCATCAGCATCAGCAGCGTGAGTTCTAGAGTCTGTCAGGCACCTGTGAGGAGCTCTTTAGGAGGGCTCTGCAGATGGGAGGTAGGGACGCAGATGTCTACCTAACTAACGCCTATTCTCAGGAGACTGTAATAATCATTAATTCTATCAACAACTCCTTCCATTTACTTGTCTGTTAAATTACGATCATCCACATTTAACAACTGCCCTTTATTGAATTCCATTATTGTTTGTGCTCAATGTTTTATGTATATCATCTCATTGCAATCTTACAGTAATCTCATTGTTTAAGGAAGCCAGGGCTCCTGAGAGTCAAGTAGTATGGGCCGGCCAAATAGCTCAGTGGATTAAAGCACCTGCAGGTAGGGCAGGGGTCTGGGGTTCGATCCCTGGATCTGCCATGCTGGCCTCTCCCCCAGAGCTCGCTGAGATGGCAATTGAGACTGGGCATGGTGACACTCGCCTGTAATCCCAGCTCTTGGGAGGCTGTAAACAGGTGGATCACTACGAGTTGGATCTAGTAGTGAGACCCTGAACACCCTGTAGACCCTTCCCTTAAGATACAAAAAGAAAAAAAGAAGAAAAAAAAGAAAATCAAGTAGTATGATCCATGTTATACAGCACAAATCATGAAGTGATGCTGAGAATCACCTTTGTATGTCATGTTAGAACTAGGACAGACCATTCATTGCCCTGCCTGTGGGCTAGACCTGAGGACCCGGGCTAAGAATCACAGTTTATCTCATTTGCATCCTGCTTTTCTAATCCTGGTATAACTCTGCCTGTGGCCGAGATTTCTGTCTTCAACCTAAAGCATGAGAGACCTAAACTAGCTGATCTCGGAGTTTCTTCTGCTACCATGCATTGCGTATTTTTCTTCAGGATTTTTATCAGCTCTGAAATTCTGCAGTCATATCACTTCGCAAAAGTCAAGGGTAAAGGAAGTTAAGGGGACTAAAAATAAAATACCCTCGTTTTATACCCAGGAGATGGATTTCCCCAGCCAAAAAGAAGTACCAGAGAAATCAGTATTCATTGGTGCATGTGTGCTTGTCATTTCATTTAGGCACAAAAATAACTCTCACCTATATTATTGTCTGTCTTTTCCAAACGAAAGAACTGAGCTTTAGAATGCTTATGGCTTGCCCAAGGTTTCCCAATTAGTAAAGTGTGTGCCCGATTGCAAAATCTTTTCTTTGGGTACGCCTCTTTTACTGGCTCTCAGAGCACAGAATCTGAGGATGTGTATGACTATGCTCATTAATGACCCTCTACCTGTCTGTATCCTTATTCCATGCCACCTAATGTCACATCAGTTGCTGTTTCCATTTTTCCCCTCGATTACTTCTAGCCAGGAAGCTCAGATCCTTATCGACTCTTCCCTGTTCATGGAATTCCCTTCAATGTTTATAATGTTTTCTATTTTCATTTCATGTATTTTATTTTTACTGTGCCTTTGTTCAGGTTCCTGGTTAGCATCTAAGTAGTTGAGAGTAAGATTTGTCCTGCCCCATGCCTATCACAACGCCTTGTGTGCACAAATATAATATTGAGCAGAAGACGGATTCTTGTAAGGTCAGATAGGCCCAGAATTAGCTTTGAGATTTTCCTTTTACTTTATCAGAACATCAGTTAGCTTAAAGGTTGTCTCTGTAGATGAAT